GTACATTTAAAAAAATCAGGCTATTGTGGTCTTTTAAAGTCTACAACTAGTTCCAGCTAAGAATCCATCAAGTCTACAGGAAAAGCAGAGAACAAGCTGTACGTTTACATCTGAAACTTACATCAACAGACTTCTTGGCGAAGCTAGCATCCAAGAAGGGATATAAAAGGTGCCGTGTACAGAACTGTATAATAAAACAATACAGCCTAGCAGGTATCCTAGTCTACAGCCATATGTGCTTTATTTCTAGCAGTCTAGTGTTATAAATAAGCACGACAGGGAGCCCAGCGGGACCAGGCTGACACCCCCAACCCCCTCCCAGCAGGACAAGGCTGACACCCCCAACCCCCTCCCAGCAGGACAAGGCTGACACCCCCAACCCCCTCCCAGCAGGACAAGGCTGACACCCCCAACCCCCTCCAACACACCACTCCCAGGATGTCCTGTGTTTCCCTCCCACTGCACATTCCTACAGGGAAACTCCCTGCTGCCTCTGGGGGGTGGAAATGACAGTGTATTGCATATGGCTATGTTGGACTGTACAGACAACCCTGGCTCCCAGGCCTATGGCAGACACAGAGGGACATTTGGCTTCCCGTTCAGAGATTTCAGCCTTGGCACAATCTTACCAAAAGCTCTGCCATCCCAGGCCCTGCAGTATTTGTACACTGTCGCTGCACAAAAAGGGGATTAGGAAATTCAGAAACCAATCACCAAGCAACACCACCGATTTTTTTTTTGAAAGCTTAAAGATACTTCAGGAAAAGAAGCGTATTCTGACTTTACAAGTAAAGATGTTATAGCCACATACACAGCCAACACTAAACTGCAAATATTGGACAGACTGTCTGTTTTCAACCTTTCAAACTATGTAACCAAATATGTGCTACAAATCCTGTGCCTACAAAGTACATACAATGTAACATGATATGTAGGACATGTTGGTTTTATAGCACATGTGGATATACAGTATTTAATCAAAGCCGCTTGTCACATGTTCAAGGTTTATTAGAATAAAAAAAAAAAACTCTCCCCCCACTTATTTACTGGAGAGTGCAGTAATACGGGGCACAGTATTTATTTGTAGGGTAGTAAGTGAAAGCATTCTTCCTACAAATCGGCTGATGGCTACATTTTGGGAATTTCTCGGTGAAGATAAAAGTATTTTTTGCAGTCAATGCTATACCATTCTCAACTCTTAGCCCTGGTTCACACTGAATGAGACTTTTAAGTTGTGCTACTTCACTTGAAGTACCACGATTTCAAAGTCGCAGGTCAGTGCGATTTTAGGTGCAATGCCATGTACAGATGTCTATGCAAGTCGCATCTGAAATCGCTGAACACAGTACAAAAACTATTCTCCGAACAGATTTGAACGGTTCCATTGCCAACAAAATAGGCCTCGTTATATGATTTGTAACTGTCAAATCACATGACAGGTCGCACCAGTGTGAGCCGGGGCTTGGGCTAGCTTGACATATATGTGGCTCTGCTAGCCACGTTTAGTGCGGGCACAGCAGCCCTGTGTCTCCTGAAACGCAGGGAAAAGGTCCCTTCAGCATTTTAGAAATCGAAGCCCGCATGGGAACCACAAGTGCAGTACGGATCCCAGTGCGTTCAACATGCTATTAAGATGAACACAGATCCAGGGCATGGTTGTGGCTGCAGGAACCGATGCAGACCAATAGCAGGAACCACCCGCACAGATGTGAACACAGCCTGAAGCCTAGTACAAACGATCAGAAAATCGTACGAAAAATACCGCTTTCAAAGCGATCGTACGATAATCGGATCATTAGGACACACCTTTCATCTGACGTTTTGGAAAGGACAAGCACCAACATTTTTTCTCGTACGATATCAGAATGTACGATTTTCGTTTAATCAGCATATTTTTTTTCCAAAAATACAATAGAAATACATCCCTTCTGATTTCAAGAGATTTTGTAACCTCTTCACTTTTGATATAAGACTAGCATGCAGAAAAAAAAAAAAAAAAGGAAGATCGTTCATCCGATATTCTCATCATGTGTACGGGGCTTAAAGTGTTAAACCCACAACCAGGGGCGGACTGACAACACATGGGGCCCCCGGGCAATAGGGGATCATGGGGCCCGTGTCCTTGCCAAACTCAAAAAAGCCAATGAAAAAGGTATCAGGGGCATCTCATGGGGCCCCCTACTGACCCCAGGCAGTGCCCAGGTTTCCAAATGGTCAGTCCGCCCCTGCCCAGGACCCCACATCCACTCTATCTGGTCTCCCACAGTACACACAACATGGAAATGCAATTATTTTAGTAAATATAAACTTCCTTTACTCAACAGTTAGAGCAGTCTTGTGACTTCTATCAGTGTCCCGCACAGCACATGTTAAAGATTGTAGAAGGCATTTTCTTTCTGTTCTAGGACCGCCTCTGTCTAGACAGTGCTGATTGGCCCTGTGCTGATCATATCAATACTCCCAAAAAGAAATAGAAAACCCTCTCTAGCAATACACACTGAACTGAGCATGTGCAGAGTGTCTCCACATGATATGTCTTATCAGGAGATAAGAGGGGGACACTGGAAGGGGAGGATCAGAGAAGACAGGGTCAAACAGCATTTTTGCAGAGGATTAACCCCCTAGGTTCAACTGAGTATAACAAGCATGCGTTCCTCCATATACACACCGATTTTACTGTTGGGGGTTTAGTAACACTAAGTCTGCTTTCACTCTGCTCCATAGCAATAACACGTGTTTTTTGCTGCATTTTAGATGTGTTTCCCCAGTACATTTTCTGATTGCTTATAGCTGTGAAAAATGTATATGTGAAAAAAAAAAAAAAAACAGCAAAAACATAAACGCAGTGCATTTTTTTATGTGTTTTCCATTCATTTGAATGGGGAGCGCGTTTTTTGGTGCAGTTTCGAAAACCACACCAAATACACAGAATGCAGGATTTTTCAATACGCACCACACCTGCAGCAATGGTTTGAAGAGACCCAGAAGATTTACAGGGAAACACATTTTTCTTGCAAAGTAAAAATGCATCAGTGTGAAAGCAGCCTCAATGTTCCCCTGATTGCGGATTATTACTGGCTTTGGTGATTATTATTTAGCGTTGGCCATAAAAGGATCCAGGAGTCAGTAGGAAGACATTTTCTTCTTATGGACGCACACTTTGTACTGCATCAAATGCACAACCCGGAATGATCTTGACGAAAATCTGACTATAGTAATGTATCTGAAATGACAAACACTTCCATGCTGCAGTGTACAGAGGGGGAGATGTCCACAGATCAGGAGTGGGACAGTCCACAGCAGCTACAGGTCCTGAAGAACTACAATAACCCGCATGTCACGTCTATCCATTATAAATCAATCCCTGGAGGGACCAGGATAACAATCCAATCATTCCTACACATCACCCCACCCTGACCCCATAATCACAGCAAAGCCCCAAAGCAGAGGCAGCACCAGAATGGTGTACAATGACATATATAGTCAGTGGAGGAGGGTTCAGTACTAGTCATGGTGAAAATAACTTGTTTACAGTCTGGCAGCCCCTCAGAACGTTGGCTGTGTTCCCGCGACAGGAAGATTAATAATTTACCTATTTTCAGTGCCTGACAAATACTGGACATCATTCTAGCAATTTCAACCAGCTTCTAATAACCCACCCCCGGGGGTATGGGCGCGCGCACAGGTCACCCGTCCCCGGCGTATGGGCGCGCGCGCACAGGTCACCCGTCCCCGGCGTATGGGCGCGCGCACAGGTCACCCGTCCCCGGCGTATGGGCGCGCGCACAGGTCACCCGTCCCCGGCGTATGGGCGCGCGCACAGGTCACCCGTCCCCGGCGTATATGGGCGCGCGCACAGGTCACCCGTCCCCGGCGTATGGGGCGCGCGCACAGGTCACCCGTCCCCGGCGTATGGGCGCGCGCACAGGTCACCCGTCCCCGGCGTATGGGCGCGCGCACAGGTCACCCGTCCCCGGCGTATGGGCGCGCACAGGTCACCCGTCCCCGGCGTATGGGCGCGCACAGGTCACCCGTCCCCGGCGTATGGGGGCGCACACAGATCACCTGTCCCTGGCAGGTCACCTTCGCCCGATGGCCATGGTTTGTGAAGAAATGCCAGCAGAAACGTCCATCTGTCTGATCTGTGAAAGGCCAGCCTGGCCCGCCCCCAGAACAATTCAGAGCTGACATTTGTTCCAGACTTCTGGCCAGCATCCCCAGTTCTGATTGGTCCCTGGAAAGGTGTCACTACAAAGGTTTCACCTTCATAACAGACTCAGGATATCCTACAAACAGAAATTCTACATGCAAATCATCCCCTCAGTCCAGGGACATAACAGGACAGGCGGTGTACTGAGCGATCAGCTGGGAACAATGGCTCAGCATCCCTGTCCCTGGAAATACAGCCCACTAAGGCACTCTGTACTGTGCTGTGTGATCAGCTGGGATCCAGGGCTCAGCAGCACTGTCCCTGGAACCATTGGCAGACAAGGCTGACCACAAAGCACAGTAGCAGTGTCCCTGGAAGTATCGATCGCTATGGCACTCCGTAGTGCTGTGTGATCAGCTGGAATCCCTGTCTCAGCAGCATTGTCCCTGAAGCCACTGGCCACTAAGATACTCCATCCTGTGTTATGCCGATCCCACAGAACAGTAGCAGCGCCCCTGAACTATGGGCCACTGAGGCACTCCGTACAGTGCTGTTTAATCAGCTGAGATCACAGGCTCAGCAACCAAGTCCCTGGACTAGGAGTCCACTAGGGCACTCCGTACAGTGCAGTGACCCCCGGCTCAGTAGCAGTGTCCCTGGACTGGGAGCCCACTAAGGCACTCCGTACAGTGCAGTGACCCCCGGCTCAGTAGCGGAGTCCACTAGGGCACTCCGTACAGTGCTGTGTGGCCGCCCATATGCACACACGGCAGGACTCCTCCGCACTGCGGGCTGTAGTGATGTATAGCGCTCCGGGTGATGTAGGCTGTGGCGCTGTACAAGGGCTCACCTCTAGAGGAGCTCCGAGGCGGATCCAGCCGGCCCGGGGAGGTGAGCGGAGTGGCCGGTAGTCGGTGTGTCTCGCTAGTCCGGTGTACAATCTTTCTCTCTCCGCTATCTTCACACGGCGATGACGTCGTCCGCTCCCGCCCAGCCCCGATCCTCGCGCTCCGCCGGCCTCACCACAGGAAGCGCATTCCAGGCTCGTGACGTAGGCGGTGTGGGCGTGGAGCGGGGCAGAGTGGACACGTGGGTGCGGAGGGAGAGGAAGGGTGACCTCAGGGCTGGGAGATTGCAGCTGACTAATGGCATCCTCCGGTCATAGCCGGGGGAGGGCGCTGTATGGGACAGTCAGGGCTTAGCCGGTGTATGTACTCATGTCGTGTTGTTGGCTAATGGCCCTAATGTTTTATTTATAGAGAGGACAGTCTACATATATACTGTACCTTCATAGCAGGCCCTGACCTCCTGGAGCTCCCTACCCCCCCCCCCCCTTACCTACACGGGAAGCCTCCTGGAGCTCCCTGCCCCCACGCGAGGCCTCCTGGAGCTCCCTGCCCCCACGCGAGGCCTCCTGGAGCTCCCTGCCCCCACGCGAGGCCTCCTGGAGCTCCCTGCCCCCACGCGAGGCCTCCTGGAGCTCCCTGCCCCCACGCGAGGCCTCCTGGAGCTCCCTGCCCCCACGCGAGGCCTCCTGGAGCTCCCTGCCCCCACGCGAGGCCTCCTGGAGCTCCCTGCCCCCACGCGAGGCCTCCTGGAGTTCCCTACCCTCTCCTGCCCCCACGCGAGGCCTCCTGGAGTTCCCTACCCTCTCCTGCCCCCACGCGAGGCCTCCTGGAGTTCCCTACCCTCTCCTGCCCCCACGCGAGGCCTCCTGGAGTTCCCTACCCTCTCCTGCCCCCACGCGAGGCCTCCTGGAGTTCCCTACCCTCTCCTACCCCCACGTGAGGCCTCCTGGAGCTCCCTACCCCCTCCTACCTACACGCAAGGCCTCCTGGAACTCCCTATCCCCTCCTACCTACACGCGAGGCCTCCTTGCGCTCCCTACCTACAGGCGAGGCCTCCTGGCGCTCCCTACCCCCTCCTACCTACACGCGAGGCCTCCTGGAGCTCCCTACTCCTACCTACACGCGAGGCCTCCTGGAGCTCCCTACTCCTCCTACCTACACACATGGCCTCCTGGAGCACCCCACTCCCACGCGAGGCCTCCTGCAGTTCCCTACCCTCTCCTACCCACATGTGAGGTCTCCTGGAGTTCCTTACCCTCTCCTACCCACACGCGAGGCCTCCTGGAGTTCCCTACCCTCTCCTACCCACATGCGAGGCCTCCTGGAGTTCCCTACCCTCTCCTACCCCACACGCGAGGCCTCCTGGAGTTCCCTACCCTCTCCTACCCACATGCGAGGCCTCCTGGAGTTCCCTATCCTCTCCTACCCCCACGCGAGGCCTCCTGGAGCTCCCTACCCCCTCCAACTTACACGCGAGGCCTCCTAGAGCTCCCTACCCCCTCCTACCTACACGCGAGGCCTCCTGGAGCTCCCTACCCCCTCCTTACACAAGAGGCCTCCTGGCGCTCCCTACCTACACGCGAGGCCTCCTGGCGCTCCCTACCCCCTCCTACCTACACGCGAGGCCTCCTGGAGCTCCCTACCCCCTCCTACCTACACGCGATGCCTCCTGGCGCTCCCTACCCCCCTCCTACCTACACGCGAGGCCTCCTGGCGCTTCCTACTCCTCCCTACACGCGAGGCCTCCTGGAGCTCCCTACCCCCTCCTAGCTACACGTGAGGCCTCCTGGAGCTCCCTACTCCTACCTACACACATGGCCTCCTGGAGCTCCCCACCCCCTCCTACCTACATGCGAGGGCCTCCTGGAGCTCCCCACCCCTTCCTACCTACACGTGAGGCCTCCTAGAGCTCCCTACCCCCTCCAAGCTGCACGCGAGGCCTCCTGGCGCTCCCCTACCTACACGCGAGGCCTCCTGGAGCTCCCTACCCCCTCCTACCTACACGCGAGGCCTCCTGGAGCTCCCTACCCCCTCCTACCTACACGCGAGGCCTCCTTGCGCTCCCTACCTACAGGCGGGGCCTCCTGGCGCTCCCTACCCCCTCCTACCTACACGCGAGGCCTCCTGGAGCTCCCTACTCCTCCTACCTACACACATGGCCTCCTGGAGCTCCCCACTCCCTCCTACTCCCACGCGAGGCCTCCTGCAGTTCCCTACCCTCTCCTACCCACACGCGAGGTCTCCTGGAGTTCCCTACCCTCTCCTACCCCCACACGCGAGGCCTCCTGGAGTTCCCTATCCTCTCCTACCCACACGCGAGGCCTCCTGGAGTTCCCTACCCTCTCCTACCCACACGCGAGGCCTCCTGGAGTTCCCTACCCTCTCCTACCCACACGCGAGGCCTCCTGGAGTTCCCTATCCTCTCCTACCCCCACGCGAGGCCTCCTGGAGCTCCCTACCCCCTCCAACTTACACGCGAGGCCTCCTAGAGCTCCCTACCCCCTCCTACCTACACGCGAGGCCTCCTGGAGCTCCCTACCCCCTCCTTACACACAAGGCCTCCTGGCGCTCCCTACCTACACGCGAGGCCTCCTGGCGCTCCCTACCTACACGCGAGGCCTCCTGGAGCTCCCTACCCCCTCCTACCTACACGCGAGGCCTCCTGGAGCTCCCTACCCCCTCCTACCTACACGCGAGGCCTCCTGGCGCTCCCTACCCCCTCCTACCTACACGCGAGGCCTCCTGCGCTTCGTACTCCTCCCTACACGCGAGGCCTCCTGGAGCTCCCTACCCCCTCCTAGCTACACGTGAGGCCTCCTGGAGCTCCCTACTCCTACCTACACACATGGCCTCCTGGAGCTCCCCACCCCCTCCTACCTACATGCGAGGGCCTCCTGGAGCTCCCCACCCCTTCCTACCTACACGTGAGGCCTCCTAGAGCTCCCTACCCCCTCCAAGCTGCACACGAGGCCTCCTGGCGCTCCCTACCTACATGAGAGGCCTCCTGGAGCTCCCTACCCCCCTCCTACCTACACGCCAGGCCTCCTGGAGCTCCCTACCCCCCTCCTACCTACACGCGATGCCTCCTGGCGCTCCCTACCCCCTCCTACCTACATGCGAGGCCTCCTGGCGCTTCCTACTCCTCCCTACACGCGAGGCCTCCTGGAGCTCCCTACCCCCTCCTAGCTACACGTGAGGCCTCCTGGAGCTCCCTACTCCTACCTACACACATGGCCTCCTGGAGCTCCCCACCCCCTCCTACCTACATGCGAGGGCCTCCTGGAGCTCCCCACCCCTTCCTACCTACACGTGAGGCCTCCTAGAGCTCCCTACCCCCTCCAAGCTGCACGCGAAGCCTCCTGGAGCTCCCTATACGCGAGGCCTCCTGGAGCTCCCTACCCCCCTCCTACCTACATGCAAGGCCTCCTGAAGCTCCCTATCTACACGCGAGGTCTCCTGGCACTCCCTACCCCCTCCTACCTACCTACACGCGAGGCCTCCTGGAGCTCCCTAGCTACATGCGAGGCCTCCTGGAGCTCCCTACCCCTCCTACCTACACGCGAGGCCTCCTCATCTGCTCATGTTTATTATGCATGTGAGCTGGATTTAAAGGAGTCACACATTATTAAAGTGACACTCCTACGGACACAGCTGATCACGTGATAAGGTAAGGCCAATCATAGCAGCCTTTTACCACATGATCAGCTGTGTCCAATGACACAGCGGATCACAATGTAAATACAATTGCCAGTTATCGGCTGCACTTTCCTCATGCTATCACAGTGTGAGGAAAGTACTGCCGATAACCAGCAACTGTAACGGGAGATCTGCAGTAATAATCAGTGCACTGATTATCAGTGCCACCCAGCAATGCCACCCAGTAGTGTCACCCAGCAGTGCCACCCAGTAATGTCACCCATCAGTGCCACCCAGCAGTATCACCCATCAGTGCTGCCCAGCAGTGCCATCTGTCAGTGCTTCCAGCCGGTGCTATTAGTCAGTGCTGCCAGTCAGTGCCCATCACTGTTGCATATCAGTGCATTATCAGTGTCTCCTCATCAATGCCCACCAGCGCTGCCTCATCAGTGCTACCTATCAGAGCAGCCTCATCAATGCACATCAGTGAAGGAGAAAAATTTCCTGTTTGCAAAACTTATAAAAGAAGCAAAACTTTTTTTTTCCAATTTTTTGCTCTTTTTTTCATTTATAGTGCAAAAATAAACCCCCCAGTGGCGATTAAATACCACCAAAAGAAAGCTCTATTTGTGTGAAAATAATAAAAATTTCATATGGGTACAATATTGCATGACCACACAATTGTCATTTAAAGTACAACAGTACTGAAAGTTGAAAATTGGCCTGGGCAGGAAGGGGTATAAGTGCCCAGTAGGCAAGGGGTTAAATTACATTTTATTAATAAAAAGGTGATATACTCACAAAATATGAATAAGTCAAAAGAACAGCACTGTCCAGTCGCCATTGCATGAATATTCACAATAGGAATCCTGGACCTCCAACGCATTTCGAGGACTTGCCTCTTCCTCAGAGCCAGCCCAGTTTGTTTTCTTTACTGCCACCAAACCAGCTGCGGTAACAAATTCACTCTAAAATCTGGCCATACACAGCTCAAGTTTCGCCCAATTGCTGTTGAATCAGCCAAAATTCGAGCTATAAGTGGTGGGGTTGGCACCACCCAGCTCAACAAAATTCAATTGAAAAATCAAAGGAGCCGGGTGGAAAATTGTTGGCTGAACAACGACTGCATAGAATAAAATGCAGTCACTGTTCTAGCATTCTGACATCTCTGCCGTTAGGCAATCCTTGAAAACGTATCCCGCTTCCACATCTGAGCGGAGCAGACACAGACCTGTCATCCACCTGTTCAGTGGGAATCAGCAGACAGATCCCTTGCCGAGCAGGCGGATCGGAGGCAGAGTCCACATGCAGGCTGCCATTGCTGAGGTCTTCTGAAAATTGCCTGGTTATAATGCTGGCTCTTGTTTCAGTGCTGTAAAACAAGGATCTGGATGTATGCAGAAAAGCACATCTGACCCTTTGACTTGTTCTGCATTCCTACTTTGGGTCAGCTTCTTCCCCACTCTGTTCTAAATTAAGTTTTGACCAAAGTTAAGTTTACATTTGAGATCCTCAGCTATTATGACTGATGAGG